CAAGGTCCATACAAAGTATCTAAAATCATTATTGGCTATTACAGCCACTCTCACAGTATTTGAGGGCAATTGATGCTTACCGAAATGTACAATGGTTCAAAATGGTCGAGCTAGATTAGTGGAAGGCGTTAGACGATGTGCTTCACAAATTCTTAAAGTTAAGAAAAATTTTCGAACCATTTTAAGTGAAGGTGACCGTTAGCTGGACAGGCTGATTAACAAGATCGAGTTGCAACAAAACGACTAATAATTCCGACAGTGCATTCATTCGGCTTACACGCAATCGACTTAGTGAATCGATGCAATTTCCGTTATTTATTATTCATCAAAAAACGAAAATTGGGTTTTATTCCGGAAACGTGACTTATTCACATCAAGATTTATATTTTAGAGCTATAGAGAACATGGAAAACAAGTTGAACATGGCTTTTTTCACAAAGAAAATTTCTTCACTTCGTTACTTTCTCGACAGTAACGAGGTAACTGGATTAGTTACTTAGGTACTGGGCCGGTACACACTAACGCCGAGTAACTAATAAACTCCGGGCCCTGCCATTACAGTCTCCAATTAGCAAATGTAATATGTTAGTACACACTGTCGGCATCTCCCGGCAGCTCTTGACGACTGTCTATGAGTTGATGCCCACTGTCGTTATCCGCCGCCACTTCTTCAAGGGTGTTTGTGACCTGGTCCACACTGTCGTTATGTGCCGACAGTACTTGATCAGTGTTTGTGGGCTGCACACTGTCGTTATGTGCCGACAGTACTCGGTACGTGTTTATGGGCTCCACACTGTCGTTATGTACCGACAGTAGGTGATGGGTGTTTGTGGGTTGGTCCACACTGTCGTTATATGTCGCCACTTCTCCAAGGGTGTTTCTGACCTGGTCCACACTGTTGTTACGTGCCGACAGTACTTGATCAGTGTTTGTGGGCTGCACACTGTCGTTATGTGCCGACAGTACTCGATAGGTGTTTATGGGCTCCACACTGTCGTTATGTACCGACAGTAGGTGCTGGGTGTTTGTTGGCTGGTGCACACTGTCGTTATATGCCGCCACTTCTTCAAGGGTGTTTGTGACCTGGTCCACACTGTCGTTATGTGCCGACAGTAGGTGATGGGTGTTTATGGACTCCACACTGTCGTTATGTGCCGACAGTACTTGATGGGTGTTTATGGGCTCCACACTGTCGTTATGTGCCGAGAGTGCTTGATGAGTGTTTGCGGGCTGCACGTTGTCTTTATGTGCCGACAGTACTTGATGGGTGTTTGCGGGCTGCACACTGTCGTTATGTGCCGACAGTACTTGATGGGTGTTTGCGGGCTGCACATTGTCTTTATGTGGCGAGAGTGCTTGATGAGTGTTTGCGGGCTGCACACTGTCTTTATGTGCCGACAGTACTTGATGAGTGTTTATGGGCCGGTGCACCCTGTCGTTGTGCACCGACAGTAGGTGATGGGTGTTTGCGGGCTGGTGCGCACTGTCGGTATCTGCTGGCAGTTCTTGAATAGTATCTATGGGTTGTTGCACACTGTGGTTGTATGCTGCTAGTGCCCGATGGATTGATTTACAATTAACATTGGAAAATGTAAGTGCGAATAGAACCTGTAAGAAAAGTTTGTGTGGATTCTTAAATAGATTTTATCTTAGTGGTTATGGATGCGGAAAATGGACCTGAATGTATTTCTGACAGGAATACTATTTTCAGACACAACCTTAGATTCTAAACGTCGTGAAAATGCTTTACTTACCAAAGATAATTGTGTAAAATATTTCATCTTCCTACTTAAGTCAGTTGTTTTAACGCGTTTGATTGATTAGTGTTTAACTACAGTATTATATTCTGTATATAAGATTTTCGCTAGCGTACGATCAAGAGTTTTTATTTGCATGCAATAATTATCTAAAGCTGTTTGATGATTGAGGCACCAGCTTTATCGATAGATAGTTTCTGCTATTATCTGATGTACATGTAATCTGAAAGAAATACTAACGACTTCAATTTCTTATAAAGGGTGACTTAATATATAATTAATCATAACATCGGGCGCGTATTGCGAGATACTTGTAAATGATAACCTGTCAAAAGAGGACATTAGGGATCATTATAGAATGAAAACTATTGAGGATGAGAATCCCAACTAAACATACATGCGTTTTCTTTTCTAATGCGACACAAGTTAACCGAGAGCATAAGGGGCACGTTTTCCTTATTGCTTCAGGTTATAAGTACATCAGATAATAGCAGAAACCATCTATCAATTAAGAAAAGAAAAGACTTTGAATCGATAACAGGATTTTAAATGTACTATATAGACTTTCAGGTCACGAAAGAGAGAGAGAGTGCAAACACAAAAACAAAAAGCATTAGATGAAAGTGAGTGCAATTCTTCAATCTTTGGGTGGTACCCATCTCATGTCTCCATTGAGTCGTTGAATATTTAGACTTTGTAAGCCGTTCGGATAGACATAAAGTGGTACTGATCTTTCTGTATCATTTAAGATGGGATTAGTGGCACGAATCTATCTAATGATTCTTTAACGAGTAAACGATATTTACATTATTGATTTAAGACAATTCTCAAATCGTCGCTTGACAGTGTGTGTCTAGTTGCTTCATAGTATTTGGCAATAGCTGATTTCCGCTCATATTCTTTTGCTTCTTTAACGTTAACTAGAGCTAATGCTTCACCAGTACCGATAAAGTGCAATTTCTTAATTCCCTATGGCAATTTGCTTGTCCGTGCTCTAGTAATTGGACCCGAATACTGTTTATCATTTCTAGTGAGGTTGTCGTCATTCAGGTTTATCGTTGATTAACTACTATAGGGTTTGAATGCCACCGACTCACGGAAGTTGGTTCTAGACCAAAATCCAATAAAAAAATTGCACAGCAAATTGTTTTCTATCATAAGATGTGAATTCGAACAAAAACAGATATTTTCAGCGATTAATAGGCGTTTGATAAGTACTCTTCAATTTTAACACAATTTTCGACCTAAAAAAAATACGAAGAAACAACTATCTCGTCATGTATGATGAACAGGAAAAGTGAAAATCATCATACATATACTTAACATGGGACACGTAGAACAGAGAAAGGATGAGAAAAGGATTGTCCGTCGTAATTGCCCTAGAGGAAACAAGCAAACAACGTAAACGTTGCGTGAGCTAACACTTGTATAATTAAAAACGTGTTGAACTTTTTATATTCTACAGATGTTTCTCTATATCTTGAGTGAAACAAAATCTTTAAAAATGATATTTTATTCAAATAATTTAACGTTTAATTTTATAAGCACGAGATATCGGCTAGACATTGAGAAATGTTTTAGGGAAAAATGAAGTAGATGACAAAAAGTTTATTTAAAAATCATTGAGAAATATGACTGATTGTTTGACTGCACAAAATATACACGTATATGAATTTGAAGTCATGTTACATCTTAGGTCGTAAGTGAGACCGAAGACGTAATTATTTTTCACACATCTCCCGTTGCTCATAATAATTGATATGTATACTTCACTATCTGCTGGACACTCTCGCCCTAAAATATTGAGAGTTGTCGAATTCTGTGTCCACTATATAAAAGATGGTTGAATAACTTCAAAAACAGAATGAAGTTTACTCTCAGCAGTGATCAACGATCTGACAAGATTTACTAAAATAGTAGTGAGACCTCACCAAGATATAGGCTACTTTATCTAAGATTTTTTCATGATTGGTTTACAATCCGTCAAGATCTTAATAGTATTCGATAGTATTTAATAATTTTTATCCACGGCTCACTAAGAATTTTTGAATATCTAGCGCACACTCCTAAGCGCGGAAAAACATCGTGAAGCAGGCACTTGTATCTAGATCAAAAGGTACAGTTATCTAGCTTCAGCTAACTGCACTGGAATAGGTGAAAATTCCATCTGGCTTCAATCGAGTACAGCTAGGCATGCACCGGTTTCCGTTAATCGAAACCAATCATAATTGAAACCGAACATAACCGAAAATGTTGCACAAGTTCTTGAAAATACGTCTGACATTATTTGAAGGAAGCATGTGTTGTCAATCAACAACTGTTCATTCCGGAAGAAAGATTCACGGTGTACAAAGTCAAAAATAAGCCAATTAAGTGGTAACTGATATTTACAGATTTCATCGTGAAGATCGATTTGTATAAAGGTGCAGGCAGCAGATAAAACCTAGAAAATTAAATTTACCATACTTTTGTTGCTAAACTCAAATTTAGGAAACTCTTCCTTCACGGTGAAAAGTCAGAAAGACCACTTATCTGGCTTATTTTTGATTTTGTACACGTGCATCTTTCCTCCCAGATGAATAGTTGTTGATTGAATAACAGATGCTTTTTTCATATTCTGTCAAACGTATTGTCAAGAACTAGTGCACCATTTTCGGTTTTGCTCGGTTTCGGCTAATCGGTTAAAAATCGAAACCGGTGCATGCCTAGGTACAGCTAGTTGCTATAGATTAATATGGCAATTCATTGCTCAGTTAATTAGCCAATGCAGAGGCCGTTTCAGGTAGTACGCGATTTCACCCAGCATGCAGCTAGATAAATGTACATTTTAATCTAGCTGTAAGGGGCGCTGCAGCTATTTTTGCAGCTAGATTTTCTCGCTTACTTAGTCTTACTTGGGGTGTTGAAAATAACAGCTGAACAGATTTGAAGAACGAAGAGAAATTTCATATTTTTTGCCCGCCGAGCCTGGGCCTGCCTTGCATTTTAGCACTGCCCGAAAAGGTGTCTTTCGTTCTTGAGTTACTTAGAAAATACGAGAGATACTTCTGTTTTGAGATAGGTAGATAGTCCAATCTAATTTAAAGCTTGACGCGAAAGCAATTGAAAAAAGGTAATAGATGGTACGAGTACATTCTAGAGAAAAAGTATGAAAACTATTAGCATTCTTAATTGCCAGTAAAATTTATTTGAAAGTATTCTGACTATTTTGTTTATCTATTTTGACTTGACAGGTAATATATAACTGCCACTAGTTACATTGATATTGTGGATCCACTCGTATCATCGTATTATTAAATATGAGTGTTATGATCATTACGTAATTATTCAAAATAAGTAAATCAAATGGCATGGTTGTAATAGTCCAATCAGCTAGATGTGTTCCATCTAAATCATAAATGCGAATACCATATTCAGCAATACTTAGCCAACGCCTGTCACAGTCATCGATAGTCATATGAGTACCCAACCCATTAGTTGTGCTATTAATGTATAATGCTTCTGTCCAGTTAGTCGATGAGGGTTGTATTTTACTGTACGAGTATACCGTATTGCTAACAAATGATACCACGTAGAAATATGTATCGTTTACATATGTTAAACCGTGTGGGGACGTTCCTGTTGTTTGAATTGAGTTGACTAGTGTATAATTCGTTAAAGAGTTGATTTGAAAGAATAACAATTTGTTATTGGCGGCTGATGCAACGATTAACGTGTTTTGAATAATGAGCATATCTCTTGGACTCAATGCGGTATTATCTATCTCTGAGATAAGAGACATGTTTTTATCGTAGACCATGATAGAATTATTCATATTTGTATCAATATAGTAAAAACTATCATGATGCATTACATTGCATGGTGTTTTTGATAGGGGAATTTTATTAATAACTTGTAAATTATCTGGATTTATTCGAACAAATGATCCATTGATAACGTTTTCAACGGTAATTAAATAACCATTTTCATCTATCTGAAGACATCTTGGAGAAAACACGTTTGTTGCCACTGTTTGTGAAGCATTTGTTAATCTCTGGAGCAGTAATGTTATATTTGGCTCGCAACACCGTTTTTTATATGCTAGAAGTGAATAGTGCAAATAATTCCTAGTTTCAATACTTATCCGGACGTATGAATAGTAAAATAGATACACTACAGGTCGATTGAATTTCCCCCTTTGGTTTTTTATTTATATTAATAAATTATGTTTGCATAATGATGGTTTCTACACAGGAAGAATGCATAAATGATGCTGCATCGAAAGACAGATTAATCTTCAACAGCAAACAATGGTAATAAGAAAAAAAGTACAACAAAAAGATGCGGCGTAGCTGTATATGACAATGGTATTTATATAGATATTTAGTCTAAACCGGGCAGTATTTTCGATATTTAGTCTAAACCGGGGTAAAAGGATCCTTCTTCGTTCGCAACCTACGTTCTGTTCACGACGAAGAACGATCAAAAAATGTAAACGTATTGAAAAGTAAGTTTTTAGATGCCGCTTGATAGTACAACAAACACAAGTATTGGCAGGTAGTAAATCTGACTTTGCGTATTCTTCTATCTTGTCTATTTTATTTAAAAAGAAAAAATAATATCATATAGCTAAAGTCCAGAGGAAAGAGGGAGATTAATGACGTCAGATAACTTGGAAAGACGGAGAAATGCTACTACTCTTTCAATTAAATCTATGATCTTCCCATATCATCTTGATGCAACAGTAGAGCTCAGAAGAGAAAGGATAATTGCTTAATAGTATTCTAGAAGCGATAAAATACCTGCAAAAGTGGATACTGTTATCAGTGCGTTCATACTTATCAGTTTGAATGACAGAAAAAGCTCTGTTGAAATAAATATGTTAAATTAAATGAATATTTCTTAAAGATATAAGCTACAAAAGATATATTCCTGTGATTAGTTACTGAACTCTTGTCTTCTATTAAACTGCTGCTGAAAGAAGTGAACTTGTTTACATACCACATATACCAGAATAACATGTTAGATTCATATCGTTTCTACACCAACTGTCTGTCTGACACATTGATCCATTGTATAATTGATTTAAACACATTTCATTATTCCAAAATGTATGCGGAGGACATCGGCATGTAGAATTAACACACAATAAATAACGATTCATTTTACAGGCATCGCAACTTTGATTGTAGGCTGAGTATAGTGATGATTGACATCTCACTGCGCCTATTCTTGATGTTGATGGAGCTGTGGTGTTAACAGTTCCAGTTGATAATTCACCCTCAAAGAGTCGACATTTAAGATTTGATTTATCGTAATCATATGTACGACACGATGCATTTTCATTACATAAACTTGCGCAAACAACTTCCGTTTCAACAAATACGGTGGTTAATAATTCGATCGCATCAGCGGAAACAAACAGTGTCCCATAATCTTTTAATTCAAAATATGATTGTAACATTTGAGATTGAGCAAGATGTACGAATATGAGTAAGTACAACATTTTTTCTTCTGCTTAAAAAAGATATGTATCTTTTGCGTACATAAGGTTGTTATTGAGCCTTTATTTGATCTTTTCTCCGTTCGTTATTCAAACATTTTTTGTTTGAGAGTATTTAACTTTGCTTTAACTATGCAATATAAAATTCATCACTTTAAATTTCATTATGGCAACTGATTCCTTTTTACTGTAAAAAAATATAAACAATGTACATTACACGATCGACGAAAAGAAAGACTTTCGGCACCATTAGAACATTTTTTTGTTTGTCTACAATGAATAATAAAATCGGAAAAAAGTCGATTATATAGCGAACATGATGTGAATCCTAAATATAAACTAGACACCAATCACACTACGTGAACGAGAATATAAGAAATATAACACTGCTATGAAACATTTTGAACAAAACACTTTTATTCGTTAGCGAGCTTTGGGGGTGGTTTGTTCAGGCGTTGGTGGGTGGTTGGCCGGGGGCGGGGGCGGGCGGAGGTAAGGGGTTTGT